AGCCCCACAGATCAGGCCTAGAACGGCTCTTGTTTATTAATGTGCATCGTATCTTCCTCCAAACAGGTCATAAGTCACCAGCTACAGGAGTCATTTCATCCTTAAAGGGGGCGAAGCTATCTTTTTTTGGGGGGGAGCTATCTTGAGCTGAATACCAGACTTACCAATAATAATAATAATAATAATAATAATACCAAAAAGAAAAACAACAACACTGCTGCTAGGTAAGCTGGGAGCTGGGAAGGGATGGCCCCTTGTTGATAAGGCTGATAAGATGTCCCTGATCCACCACCCACTTCCTCTCTGCTGAGACCAGGTATGACTCACGGGGTTCAAGTCCTGGAAACTCCAAACAGCAAGTGTCAGGACATAAAAGCCTCACTCTAGACCTTGAAGGAGGCTGTACATTCTAGAGGGTGAGAACTGGCTCAGTAGCCGTGGAGGCACTGCTGACACAAGCCAGGCTCTTGGCTCTAGACTTTCAGATATCCCAAAGTGTCACCCCCAGGGATGGCTCGCCCATGCCACCTACTTCCCAGCAACAGGAAATCTCCAAAGGAAGGTTTGACAGGAAGAAGAGGAGGCCTTGCCAATTTGGCTCAGGTGTGCCAACCCTGGGCAAGGGCCACCTGACACTCCCTCAGTCAGCCAGTACTGGAAGTCTCTCTTCCTCAGACAGACACCCTTGTGACTGACTCCACACACCTGCCACCTGCCAGGGCCACACCTGGGGAAGCAGGGCTTCCTCAGGCAGCCTGTGCTAGCAGGCTGGCTTCCAGCTCTCACCTCCCTCCATCCCTACACCAGGCTCATCCGGTCCAGGATCCCACAGCTCCACCCAAAGTAGTCACAGTCCTCATCCTTAGAAGCAGTAAGTGCCAGCCGTGCTCTGAAGCCACTCACACACAGCGCTTCGGGAAAGAGGCCCTGGGACCCCTCTCCTGATCCCCAAACCTCTGCGTGTAAAAACGCCCTCTGAACAGAGAGGTAATAAAAGCCAGAAGGAAACTGAGAACTTGCCTCCCCCTCTTTGTGGGGAGCCAAGGAAGCCCTGGTGAATGTGCACAGAGGATCAAGTCCTGACTGGATCCGTACTGTTTGACACAGACACAGACACATTAGACCCCAATGCCTACAGAAGCCTTCCCTGTAGAGTCAGGTGAAGAGAGACAGTGTGTGCAAAAACTAGCATCCTCAAGCTTCCTCCTTTAGGGAGATTGTAGCCTGAGATGACTCCACTATAGAGAGGTCCCTCCCCCAGGGCTAACCCTCCCCCATTGCTGCAGGAAATAAAAGCTCTCAGGTCCCTGGTTATTACAGAGTTGGTGCTGCTCCAGAGCCAGAATGGGCCACCTGATCCCAGTTTTTCTACAAAAGTGTCTATTCCTCTGTTCCTTGGCTGCCTCAGGCAGGTCAAGTCTCAGTCACAAGAGGCATGCAAGCTGCCCTGCAACTGAAGTCATTCCCTCCTTACACATCCACTCAGAGGGCATTCTTGGCTCCCCAACCTGCTGGAAAGTATTCTTATGTTGTGCCAGGTACCCAGCAAACACCCTAGCTTTTGCTATTCCGTATTTTTAATAAAAGGGAGAAGAAAGGAAGAAAGAAACAACATTTTCTTATTAGAGCTACCAAGCAAAGGGAACAATGTTAAGGTAGAGTCAGCTCACTTTTTGGGGGGTGAAGAGTTGAATTCAGTGGGGACTGTTAGATGGGAAAGGTGCCAGTCCAATTGAAAGTGGGAAGAGGCAGAATTGGGCCTGAGAGGGCCAAGCAATAACTCAAAGCAGCACCCTCCTAACAGACAAATGAACCACAACACGCTGATGGATAGAGCCTGCTTGCCCTACTGGGGGTGGTACAGGTGACCTGAAATACCCACAGGTCTTCTTGTAGACCTCAGCCATTTGAGGGGCTCAGACAACTCAGTGACTTAATGACAAATCTCTGCAACATTTTTATCAGCCATCCACCAACCAGTGGGCAATGAGATCAACAGATGGCTCAAAATGCCTAATCACAGCCTGAGCCTCCTAGCCTGTGGACTGGCTAGGGTGGGCTTGCTTGATGAGTGAAGCAGGAAGTGCCTTTTCCCTTAGGAAGAATCACTGTCTTGACATCCCCTCCTGTACCACCCTCCTGCACTTAAGAAGGGAGTGGTGGCCCAGGCTTTAAAGAGGGAACTGCATTCCCATTCACAAACTCCCAACACGAAGACACTAACAGGCAGAACAAGTTCTGCTGCTGATGAATGAGCTCCGGTAATAATAGGGCTCACCCTTCGCCATTAAATATTAACCTTGTTCCCAATGATGTCATAAAACCAAGGCCCAGGAAGCTCTCTCATGGCCACACTCCCCATCTGCTATGGGAGGGACTCAAGTACTTACTTCTTCCCTGGTTTCAAGCCAGGAGGACCTAGGGCCCTTTGGTGGACAAGTGCTGCCACACCCAGGGCCTTGGATACCTGAGACTCTTAATGACGTGACTCTGCACACATGTGCTCTACCAGATGTTCCCCAAAGCTGCCCTGATCTCAGGCTGTGTTCACTTGGGGACTTCTACCCCCAGGAAGTACCCCCCCACCAAGCCTCTGCACAGAAGAGACAATTCCTCTTGAAGAAGCACTTTCCACTCTGGACTCTGCTCTTTCATTAGGAGCCATCATGTTAATATGGCACCTGGATTGTCATATGGGTATCAGTGGAGGAGGGACCAAGGAATGTGTTCTGAAGAGGACTGGTGTGTATGGGTTGCCAGATGAATAGCTAATCCCCACAACAGGACACACAAAAAAAATGTTCTGTGGGGTCAGAAAGGATAGAATGGTCATCAATAAGCAGAAGTTTATGAGAAATATTTTTATTTAATTTCTGGATGACCTGACAGCTGTTACACACAGAACAGGATGCTTTGGGAGACAGTGAGCTCTCCAGCACAGAGGACTCCAAGCAGAAGTGGCTAGGACTGGCACACAGAAACACCTCAAGAGCTATCTCCTCACACTGAAAGCTCTATGCTCCTCCTCAGAACTCCACAGCACGGCAAAACATGGTACTGCTCCAGGTTAAGAAGAGACCAAGAGCATGGGACCAAGCTTGGTGTCTCTAGGGTAGTTTCAGGAAGGGTCCCAGCAGCTCAGAAAGGTTGGGTGCTGTGAGAGAGGCACAGACGCACTCAAGCATCCTGTGTCCTGGAGTTTGGCGATATCCAGGGTGCAGAGAACGGAGACAGCTCAGTGCCAATTTCCACGAGGGATGGACATAAGCAAACCTCTTCTCTGAACAACTGAGCGTGTGAGGTTCTGCTAAACTACTCAGTTTACCAGTCATGTGGAAGGAACTATACACAACAGAACACACAAAATGTGGACAAAAGCAGCCTCAGATCTGACTGGTCTAGCACAACCCCTAAAGTTTTCTACAGTGCTACCAGGTGGGACCTGGGATCCACTTAGTTTTTTGTTTTACGAGGCAGGAGACAGGGTTTCTCTGTATAGCTTTGGGGCCTGTCCTGGCACTCGCTCTGTAGACCAGGCTGACCTCAAACTCATAGAGATCCATCTGCCCCTGCCTCCCAAGTGCTGGGGATCCACATTTTCTAAAAGCTCTCTGGGAGCTTAGGCACCAACATCCAAGACTGAAACTCCCCAGTAGTAACAGATGTGTATAAACACCTTACTATTAATCCCACAATTTCACAAACCCAGGGGAAGTGATTTGCTCAAGATCACACAATGAGTCAAGAGGCAGGGAATCTAGATCTGTAGAAATGGCAGCCGGAACCTTCATCTTGCACAGGACAGATGCAGATAGGCATAGCTTGGAACACAAGAGTCTTCCTGGTCATGTCCCTCTCTCTTCCCCAGGAAGCTGGGGACCCCAGAAGAACGTCAGCCACATTCGTCCCACCCCACCCCAATACAGAAGACATTCCCCTGTCCCAGACTAAACCTCAATGACCTAGAACTACCATGGGAACAGAATTCTCCCAAACATCTCTCTTTCTTTCCAGAAGCAGCATTTAGCCAAAGTTTGTAACTGTTTATTAGCATTTGGGAGGAACAAAAGGAGGCTGTAAAAACTGGGTCTCTTCAGCACACAGCCATAGGAAGCTTTTCTCCAATGACACCACCAGAGACCTGCCAAAACGTGCTGCCTGCCCAGAGCTCTGCCCACGCAGGACTCAGCACAAGGAACCCCCAGGGCCTTGGAGATGTTGCAAGAGCTGGGCCAAGGCTGGGCGGTCTCTAGAATAATGACCTCAATGTCTGCAGAGCAAGGAGTTCCAGCAGACAGGAAAATCATGGTGTCCTACTCTTGAGAGGACCCTATCATGGCCAAAGAGCCTGACTCCACTCAGCCACAAGGATGGCAGGAGAGACCCAGAGAAGGTAAAGAGAAGTGTGGGCCACACAGCTCAGTGACAGGGAAACCAGAACTGCACACTGTCCCAGCCAGGCCAAACTATCCTGCAAACAAATCTTGATACCTCATGACACCTGCCAACGGGCTCAAACAAGAGGCCTAAAATCCTGTGGAACAGGAAACAGACAGCTCCCAGGACTCTGTTAGATTGTATTATGTACCAACTGCTGAGGGACCAGTGCCATTTGGAAATGTCCTCTGCTTGGGGTGCTGGGACTGTATCCCCCACCACTTCTTGCTGCCCCACCCCATTCACACCCAGCCTCTAGCTTCTTTCAGTGGCTTCCTGTGTACATTGTACTCTCTTGGGATGAGGTCTGCTCACATCATTACATGTCTAACACCTACCTTGTCACCCACAGCAGAGTACCGAGTTAAATCCCAGCCCCACCACCTTGAGAAGATTCCTCTCAGGGTCTTGGTTTCTTCACCCATCAAGCCAGGATAAGAGTGCCCACCTTCAGTGCTGGCCAACAGCAAAGGCCTGAATAGGGCTGCCATCATTCCAGACTCAATGTCCCAAACTGTTTTCTGAGGCACCCCACCCCCCAGCACATATACAAGTGAGCTTACCGCTCCATCTGCTGATCCATGTTGCTGGTTCATGCTGGGTGGGTGGCTCTAGACACAAAGCAGAATGACACACAGCTGTGGGCCTGCAGGAGCTCATAGACTGGTCAGGGGACAGACATACCTTCACAAACCGCATTGACACAGGTGCCTCAAACAGAGGGGTTAAGAAGTAATTTTTTCAGCTAGGCATGGTGGTGCACACCTTTAATCCCAGCCCTAGGAAGGCAGAGACAGGTAAATCTCTGCGAGTTCAAAGCCAGCCTGGTCTACAGAGTGAGCTCCAGGACAGCTAGGACTACACAGAGAAATCCTGTTTCAACCTCACCCCACCCCTCACAACCACCCCCCAAAAGAGACAAAGAAAAAAAAAAGTGACTTTTCACATTTTGTCACATGCTAACAGAATTTTTTATTTAAAAGTCTGGCTCTTTCCCCACTAACTAAAACACTGTCACTAACTCCTGACAAGCTGTACGAGCTTTTAAAAAATAATAATAATAATAAAATAAACTACATTGGAAAACTTCATACAGTTTTCTTTCTGTCTGTCTGCTTTGCAGCCTGAACCAGGCTTGTGTTCTGCGACTCCACCATCTCAGACATGCAGGCCTTGCTCTAGGTGTTCTACTAACCAGAGGCCGGTGTCCATAGGACAGGGTGTACACACCGGTACTATACTTGAGGGGACCTTTTGGCAAACAAACAAACCTTGTTATACCACAAAAACAATAGGCCAGCAAGGCCCATTAACAAACACTTTTCAGGTGAACAGCACTGAACAGTTCTTAAGTCATTTCCATGTCTAAAGTGTTCTTTCCTAGATACCCATGAGTCACCTTACTGTGCTCATTAAGACTCCTTGAAGTGTCTATTCCAGGGCAGAGTCTATTCACCTTTATGATCTCTGCATCCAATGCAGGGCCTGGCATTCAGAACATGGAAAACTCAATTCTGTTGAGAGAGGCACACCCAGGGTCACAAAGAAAAGCAGCAGGCCTGTCTGATCCCTAGACTCCTTGCCTCTGTCTACTGCCTGTCCTCCAACACAGGGGGCACTGTCCCCACTGGGTAATTTAATATCCAGCCCCAGTCAACCTGTGACCTATCTGGGCATAGGAGGTCCAGAGACCATGGCTGCCCATCAAAGAGTTGGCTGGAAAGCGAGTGACAAGGAGGAGTGGGAAAGGACAGATATGACTTGGCGGGAGGATGTCTGCTAAAGACAGAACAAAGCCAGGGCTGGGGTGGGCAGGATGGGAGGCTGAGGAAGTGAGGGGATGGAAGTTTCTGAGCGGGACTGTCAACCATGAAGAAGACGGCGCTTATCAGGCAGGGCTGGCGGACAGCACAGTGCAGGAAAGGGTCCATCCCAGACGGCTTTGTTTTCTTGAAAATAGCAGGATGATGAAAAGCATTCTTAGGTCCTCTGTCAAATGCTGCTGTCTGGCCTTCAAGCCTCCAATGTCATCCCTGTGACAGACTGAAATCTTTAACAATCCCAGCCCTCTCCTGATGTACCACTGCAGCTCCATCAGGAAAAACAGATAAAAATGGGGTTTTATTAAACAGTGCTTTGGGGAACTCATAGGCCAAGAACAAGTCACTGTAAAACTTTACACAGGGTGGGCACTGTCATCCTTTACTGTTTTGTGCTGCCTTAGATCTCAAGGAATGAGAAATAGAAAGAAAGGGGGTCATGGCTCCTGGCTGCACACCTTTCCCTCCCATGGGAATGGATCCCACGATTCCTGGGTGTTACTATCCTCTGACCAACAGAGGTCACAAAGCCACTGTAGGGTTCCCCAGCAATCCTATTCCCTGATGACACATTCTGAAGATCCATTTTAACCACACAACCAGTTTAAGATGGAACAGCTGGGTTGCCATAATACAGTTCAGACTTAAACAACCCCTCCTCCTGGGAGCTCAGCTCCCTCCCAAATCCACCATGTGTCCTCCATGCCTGGCCCTGCTGTTCTTGACTTCTCAACCCCAGGACAACAAGACCTCCCCAGGGACACTCAGCACTAAGGGGCGAGAGGAAAATTCCTCTGGGCAGTTCTGGATATGAGCCTGGCTGCACTCCACAAATCCCCCAGCCACAGCTTTACTTGAATAGGCCCACTGCTTCAAACCAGGCCACATTTCAGAGCTGGAGTCTTCACAGCTGCTTAATTCTCAGTGTGGCTATTTGCATAGGACAAGCCTTGTTATACTTCTCAGAAATGCACAAGCCACGCCCCACAGGCCTGAAGGGTGGGCAGACCTGGGCTTAAGGAAAAAAGCCTTCCTCAGAAGCTGGGGACTAGCTCTTCGGGGGAGGGGCAATCAGGCTGAGAGAGGCACAAAGGACACAAGACTAGATGAGGTAAGGCCACTTAATGTCCTGCCTGAGCCACCAGCTGGAATGTGTCTAATCTAGACAAGTCTCAGCTGCCTTATGATAAAAGAGGGGATGGCCCACTGAGAGGAAACGAGACCACCACGTGTGCAAAATGATGTCACCAAAGATCAAC